ACACAGGGGCAGGGCTGCTGGAGCTGGAAACTTCCATTTTGTGATCTGACTTGTAATTACATGGGTCAGTTCACTTTGGAATCAATCTGCACCATCATGAGATGTTTAGTTTTCTTTCTGGATTGTAAAAGCAAATAGCAATTTTTTATTTGAGAAGAAAAGCATTTGCATAAGCATGATTTTCCATGAAAAGCAAGAAGAACTGAAATGATCAAATGTGCATTCAGAATATAGAAAAATAAATAAAATATTGTAAATTCAAACAATAGAATATTGTAGAGATTTGAAAACAAATAAATTAAAAATATATACAGGAATATGGAAGAATTTTATGAATATAATGTGGACTGAAGTCAATTTTAATAAAATGCTTAAAACATCTAAAATCTTACCATTTCTTCTTCATCATCTATGTAAAGAAGACTAGAGTTCTTAGAAGCACAGGCCATCAAACTCTCATTCCAAGTCTTTCTTTCCATACCGATGAAATAACAACTGTTGGAATATGTGAACCACTCCTTTGCACAGTGACTACAATGATACACTGAAGAAAGATTATGAATTTCTGCCCAGAAAAAATGTGAATATTTTGAAATAAAAATTAATTTACCTATTTGCATAGAAATGAACATATGTATATATACATAGCATATCTATATACCCTAATAAAAAAANCAAAATTTGGTTTTTAACTAGCTAAGCCCCCACTTTTATCTGTATCTGTGTTGGTGAAATACCAATGGTCTAGACAAAGTGGCACAGACTCATTTCTCTCTGCTGCTTCCTACTAAACACAACTGTGAACTCTTGAACCAATGAAGTACAAAAGCGAAAGAGAGCTCTGAAAGGTAGAAAGAGAAAAAGGTAAAATGATTTGTGACCACAGGATCAGGGATCAACAGAGTGGCAGGGAATCTTAAGTCCCACAGGCAACAGAAGAAAGTGACCTAGGTATGCTGTGACCCAGCACCCAACCTAGCAAGGAGAGGTGGCTCAGATAAGCTCAGTCCTACCCTGTATTGAAAGGGAGCCCTGCCAGCAACCACAGGCAAGGCTGGTGCCACTGGCAAGAGGGGTCTATCAGGAGACCTGCTAAAAATCAGCAGCCAGAGGAAGTGCTTCTTCCTTACCAACAGACAGCAGTGTGAGGTGTGGGAGTGGGGGAGCAGCAAAGGGAGCCTGGTG